GTCTTGCTTTATATAAAAAAAAATTTCATGTGGCATCTTTGCTTTTATATGCTGTGTTTACGGCATTATTATTATATAAATTATCACGTATAGTTGAGTTGAATTCTGTCATATTGGTGTCTTTGTTTTTGGCTGATTTGTCTTGCTCATTTTCACTTTCTCTTGCTTCTTTTGGATTAATATATTATAATCTAATTTTAATTCTGCTATTGGTATTAGCTTTTACGTACTTTTCTTTTTAGTTCATTTCCTCTTGCTGACTATGTATCTTGTAAGCTATCATAGTTTACCTTCAAATGCAATTCATACCACTTAATGACAGTGTAAAAACCATGATAATAGTTTATATATCTATTCCCCCTTTCTTTATGATTTTATACATATGTTTACTTCATTTCGTTTAAACATTCATAAGAATTTCATTTGGTTACGTATTTTTGCTATTAAAGGTTATTATATAGAGAAATTTAAAAGAGAGAAAAATTTTATGTTAATTTAACATATTCACCATTCTGATACTTTTGTTCCTTTGTGTGAATTTTGAATTATCATCTGGATCATTTTCATTAATCTGAAGATGCTTCTTAACATATTTATACTATTATTATTTTTTTTGAGACAGAAGTTCGCTTGTTGCCAGGCTAGATGTGAGTGCCGTGGCTCAGCCTATGCTCACAGCAACTCAATACTCGGCATCAAGCAGTTCTCTGCCTCAGTCCTTCCCAAGTAGCTGGGACTACAGACCTTCACACTCTATGCGGCTAATTTGTTGTAGTATATATTAGTTGGCCATTAATTTCTTCGCTATTTATAGTGGAGATCGGAGTTCGCTCTTGACTCGGTAGGTTCTCGACGTCCTGACCTCGAGCAATCCACCTGCCGTCGGCCTCTCAGAGTGCTAGGATTACAGCGTGCGAGCCACCGCGCCTGGCTTCTTTAACATTTTTATAATCAGGTCGCTAGAAAAAATTCTCTCATCTTTTGTTTACCTGAAAATGTTGTTATTTCACTGTCAATTTTTGAAAGAATTTTTGCTAGATAAACAATTTGAAGTTGATAGAGTTTTTACTTTCAGGACTTTAAAAATTTCATTCCATTGTATTCTGACTTTCATTCTTTCTGATATAAAATGTGAAGTCAGTAGTACTTCGTATCTTTGTTCCCTATAGGAAAGATGGCTTCAGTGTTTCTCTGATTGGTTCTAATGTATTTTTTTTAATTACTGGTTTTTAGCAGTTTGAGTGTAATGTGCCTTGGGGTAGCTTTCTTTGTGTTTGTCCTGTGTGAGGTTGTTTACTTTCTTGAATCTCTGTGTTTATATTTTTCATCAAATTTAGAAAAGCTTTGGCCATTATTACTTCAAATATTTTCTTATCCCCTCTCCTCTCTGTCTGGGACTCTGATTATACAAGTGTTAGATAACTTTGTATTCACCCATAGGTCACCAAGGCTCTGTTCATTTTCTTTTCAACTTTTTTCCTCTGTCCTTTAATATAAATAATTCTTTTGTACTGTTTATTTGCTGATCTTTTTCTTCAGCAGTGTCTAATCTACTGTTAAACCTATATAGCAAAATTTCCATTTCAAATATTATATTTTTATGCTCTAGAAGTTTGATTTGGTTCTTTTTATGGTTACCACTCCTCACATTGTATTATATTTATACTACTTTAAGTTCTTGGCCATATTTACAATAGCTGCTTTAAAGTCCTTATCTAGGCCTGGCATAGTGGCTCACGCCTGTAATCCTAGCACTGTGGGAGGCCGAGGGGGGCAGATTGCTTGAGGTCAGGATTTTGAAACCAGCCTCAGTGAGACCCCATCTCTACTAAAAATAGAAAGAAATTAATTGACCAACTAAAAATATATATATACAAAAAATTAGCCGGGCATGGTGGTGCCTGTAGTCCCAGCTACAAGGCTGAGGCAGTAGGGTTGCTTGAGCCCAGGAGAATGAGGCTGCTGTGAGCTAGGCTGATGCCACAGCACTCCACTCTAGCCTCGGCAACAACATGAGACTCTGTCTCAAAAAAAAAAAAAAAAAAGTCTTTATCTACTTTAAAGTCTAATTTCATTATCTTTTGAATTTCTATTGACTGATTTTTCACCTGCTGATGGTTCATATTCTCTGCTTCTTCATATGTATAATATTTTAATTTTAATTTTATTATTTTTTTGAGACAGTTTTGCTCTGTCGCCTGGGCTAGAGTGCTGTGGCATCAGCCTAGCTCACAGCAACCTCAAACTCCTGAGCTCAAGCGATCCTTCTGCCTCAGCCTCCCGAGTAGCTGGGACTACAGGCATGCGCCACCATGCCTGGCTAATTTTTTCTATATATTTTTAGTTGTCTGGCTAATTTCTTCCTATTTTTAGTAGAGACGGGGGTCTCACTCTTGCTCAGGCTGGTCTTGAACTCCTGACCTCAAGTGATCCTCCCGCCTCGGCCTCCCAGAGTGCTAGGATTACAGAAGTGAGCCAATGCCCCTGGCCCATGTATATGATTTTTGATCAGATACTAGGCATTGTGAATATTACATGGTTGAGTGCCTGGATTTTGTTGTCTTTTTTGAAGATTGTTAAGTTCCATTCAAGCAAGCAGTTAGTTGACTTGTAGATCAGCTTTTTTCAGCTTTGTTTAGCAGGTCTAGATTAGTCTTTACTATTGGGCTAATTTAGCATCATTTGTAAAGTATGGCCTTTCTGCGGTGTCTCTTCCAAATGTTTCAGGTTTTTAATAAGATTTTCCCATTCCAACCAGTCAGAACTTGAATGTTTCCAAGCTTTATTCAAGCTCTAATAGTTGTTTAGCTTAAATTTCCCCAGTAGTTATATTCCAGCCTGATAAAGTCTATCCTTAAACTACATCAAAGAGTTGAGGGAATCCTTATGCGTATTTCTGGAACTCTTTCTCTGGTACACTACCCTGTAAAGATGAGTTGTCTCAACCTCTCTTAATTCCAATTTCTGTGTCCTCAGTTAGCAAAATCACTGTACTCTGCTTGGCTTCCTTTTATCATGTGCTTAGGTAAATAACTCTTAGAGGAAATCTGGGGAAGTTTTTGGGCTCATCTTGTTTCCCTTTTTTCCAGTATCACAGTCTTACTGTGCCTATTGCCTAATGCCTGAAAACATGTGTTTCATAGATTTGGTGCAGTTTTCTATTGTTTGTGGTAGGAGGTTCAGTTTGGTATCAGTTAATTATTTATAATTGGGCACCTTTAACATATGTAAATGTTCTATTAAATAATAAAATGCATACTTAAAAATTGCATAAATCATAAGTGTATAGCTTGATAAATTTTTATCAATTGAATATGGCATGTAACCAACAATCAGATCAAGAAGAATATTATTAGAACTCCAGAACCCCCTTACTTCCCTTTTCAAAACACAAAATATTAATACTACCTAAGGGTAACCAATATCGTGACTTCTGTTACCATATATATGTGTGTGTGTGTATATATATATATATTTATTTATTTATTTATTTTTGAGACAGCGTCTTGCTCTGTCACCTGGGCTAGAGTTCAGTGGCGTCATCAATAGTTCACTGCAACCTCAAACTCCTGGGCTCAAGCAATTCTCCTGCCTCAGCCTCCTGAGTAGCTGGGACTACAGGCATGCACCACCATGCCCAGCTAATTTTTCTATTTTTTGTAGAGACAGGGTCTTGCTCTTGCTGAGGATGGTCTCAAACTTTTGGCCTCAAGCAATCCTCCTGCCTTGGCCTCCCAGAATGCTAGAATTACAGGTGTGAGCCACCATGCCCAGTCACATTATTTTTGTTTTTGAACAGTATATGTAAATGAAATCCAGTAGTGTGCATTTTCTGTGTCTGACTAATTTCAGTCGATTTTGGAATCGTAATATTCAATCACGCTTTGCATGCAGTTGTAGATTATTCATTCTTTTTCTTTTATAGTGTTCTATTTGTGAATATTCTAAAATTTTTTCATCCTATGAACATTCTTATACATATGTCTCTTGGTGAACACATTAATAAATTTCTGTTGAAATGAGGGGTTAACTCACTCCAACAACCACCAAATTTATATAATTAGTCCAGATTTTTCTTCTGAACTCTAGACTTACATATCCAAATCTGCTTGACACCTTCATCTTAAGCATTTCAACTTTAGCATATTCAAAACCATTTGCTCCTTATATGTTCCCAAATGGCTTCTTAGTCCATCTAGTTCTTTATGGAGTAATCATTAATAGTCTTCTTTTACTGACCTTTCCTGGCAAACCAATCCATTAAGTCCCTTGTATTCCACCTCCGATTTATACATATCTTGAAATTATCCACCTTTTTCTGTCTCTACTGCCATTACCCTAGTTCAAGCCACCATCATTTCTGGCCTTGAATAATGCAACTGCCTCCAAACTGGCCTCCCAGCAACCCCTCTTACCCTTTTCCAATCTATTCCCCACAAACAGCTTGAGTGAGCTCTTAAGTATGTAAATCAGATCATATTTAACAGTCTTTACTAGCTGCTTATTGACCTTAGGATGGCTTCCAAAATACAGTCTGATATCTAAGTCTGATATGTGGCCACTAAGAGCCAGCATGGTTTGGCCTCTGCCACATCTCAGCTCAAGTTTCTCCTTGCTCCCTACCTTCCAGCCACACTGACTTCCTTTTAGTTCCTAGAACACCCGAAGTTCTTTCATGCCCCAACAACCTCACACACAATTTTCCCTTGGCCTGGAACATGCCTTCAGGCTCTTTAATAAGCCCGGAGCTTAAAAGGAAGTGTCTTTTAAGAGGGCTTTTCTCTGACAGTCCAAAATTAATCCATCATGGCACCCACTAATTTTCCTTCATAGTACTGATCACAATGTATAATTATGTAACGATTTATGCTTTAATGTCTCTTGCTCCTATTAGACCTTAAATTCCATCAAGTGTTCTGTTCACTCCTGTGACCCAACACCTAACACGGTGCTTGGCACATGGTAAACCGTCAGTAAATGCCTTTTAAATAATGCCCAACCTGTGCGAAGGCTGGAAGAGGGCCGTGGATCTAGTATCTGGCACTTCTCTGCCACGGTTAGTTTCCTTCCTGCGTGTGGTGGTAGATAGGGGAAGGTCCTTTACTTGATCACCCAAAGGGGGCTTGTCTCCCAGCCCTTTGGTAAGTGTTTGCTGTAGGGCCGCGTGTAAGAGACAAACTGCCTCCAGAGACAAGGCGGCTGGCGGAGGAGATTACTGAGGACAGCACAGTTCCGTCACCAGAGGCTTGAGCAATCTCGCGACGCAGGTGCGGGAGGAACTGCTAATCCCCTGGAGGGGGCGGGACTAAGGCGGGCACCCGGAGGGGGCGGGTCAGTGTGTGTGCTTTCTGCAGTACCCGATTGGCCTGGGCGAGCTGAGGGGGCGGGAAGGAGGCGGGGTTTGATTCAGCGGGCGCGAGCCACGTAGGACGTGGGGTAGCCCCGCCGGAAGGCCACGCCCAGGCCCCACAATGCACTGCGGGGCGCGTCACTTGGAGCGGTGGGTCCCGGCTCGACAGGTATTTCCCAGCTCCTCCCTTCCCTCTTTCCTGAGTAATGGTGTTCGAACCCCTGCCGTCCTCTCCCCTCGGTCTCCGCGCTACAGCCACGCCCCTCGCCCTCGGGACAACAGATGTAACCCCGGACAGGAACCAAGTCCGTGCCCTGGGGGTGGGAGCTGGGTGTCGTTAGGGCCGCGGAGCTCTGGAGGGGCAGGCATGCGGGAACCCGGTCCACTTCGACTTGAGGGGTCCGTGGGGCCGCGCGGGCGGCGGTTGCCCCTTGGCTGGCCTGCCCCGGGTATGGGGCAGCCCGAGCTGGAGTGCCTGAGGGAGAGGGCCAGTCTCCCTGACCTACCAGACGGCGGTGGTGGGATCCCTGGCGCCCAGGTGTCAGAAACACGATGATCCCCACCTAGGCCGTTCAGGTGGCCTGAGAGAGCGTGAGGTGCCATTTCCTATTTCTTTTAGGCAGGGCGGGACTTGAACCAGTGGCTTACTTTGCGTTTGTGGAGGTGGAATGAGCGCTGAGCCCAGAGATTTGCCTGCGTTGGCTCACAGAACCCTTTTGAGGCCCTGCTAATGGCACTTTGGGAACAATGTGGCAGAAAGTAGACCTGAGCAACTGGCTTGACAAGCGGAGGAGGTCTCTGAAAGAGAAGGCCGAGCCCTAACTGGCTTGAGTCTCTCTGCCAGTGAAAACAGCTTTAGATGTTTCTCCTGCTTCTTACTTCCCTGGATCATTCACCTGGAGCAAGTGGAAAGCTTGAGAACCAGCCCCTCTTATGCCTGTTCAGCTAAGGCAAAGCCCAGCCCAGACCTAAAGTGGTCAGCCCCTGTACTGGAGATGTTGGGAACCGAGCTGACAGGTGGAACAGCCACTTTTTAAAACTCTGAATCACTTTCCATGTTACTGGTATTTGCTCACATGCTATGATTGTAAGGAATTAGGCAATACCTTACAGTACCTACAATCTGGTATATTAAGGTTCAGTATTTGAATCTGACACCTGCGACCATGGCCTAAGTTAATGGGACATTTGGGCATTTTCTGTGTTGAGAACCATTGCATCTGTTTAGTCGTGTGTGTGTGTGTGTGTGTGTGTGTGTGTGTGTGTGTGTGTGAGAGAGAGAGAGAGAGAGAGAGACTGATTAAAATCTAAGTGTATGGTTTGTTGGTGTGAAAGGAGCCCAGGTCGTATGAAAGGGGTGCCTGTGACCTTCCTTTCCATGTGTTTGAGTAAGAAGTTTGGACATGTTGAGAGGCAGTGTCTCATAGAATCGTTGGGGTTACAGCTGAGTTTAAATCTCTACTTTACCACTTCCTAGTTTAGAGATTGATCAAATTACTTAAATTTTCTGGGCTTGAATTTCCTCAAAGGTAAAATGAAACTAATAATACCTACCTGCCAGGTTTTTGGAAGGAGTCTCTGAAGTAATACCTATAAAATGCCTGGTCTATAGAGGGATATCAGTAAGTAAGAAGGATAACATAGCAGATTCTTAATATAGCACTTTTAGGATATTACAAGGCAATGTTTCTGGTGCTTTACATGATCCTATGAGATAGATACTATTGGCATCTTTAAAACAACTCTGTGAGATATATACTTTTAGTAGCCATAATTTACAGGTGTGGAAACTGAGGTTTAGAAAGGCAAAGCTTGCCCATGATTACTTGGCTAAGTACACGCTGGAGCCAGGATTAGAACCTAGGCAGCCTGGCTCCAGAGTCTGTCCTCTTAACTACCATACTGTACTGCCTCTTAAAATTTAACTTGTTCTTTCATTATTATTTCAAAATGGAATAATAGGAGTATCAAAGACTTTAAATAAGCTAGGGGGCACAAGCAATGTGGCAGAATAAGTTCTGGCTGCCCTTAGTATCTTTTTCCCTGCCCTTTTCATGCTCTGTTTTCTAAGTGCCTCCCTGCTAAGCTATGGCTATGTAAAGTCCTTTCTCTTTTTCTTTCAATCTGCCCCCATCCTGTGCATCACAATTAGTATAGCTTTCTTACCCAATTAACCCCCTCCCCCCTTCCCACATATCTCAGCACTTTTGATAAATAATATATAGCAAGGTAGTGTTTCCCAAACTTTGATACTGTCACATATGCAAAATAATATCATAAGCAGTTGAATATTTAAAAAAATTTCCAAAAATTTTTGCACACATATTTCAATAAAACAAAAAAATTTTATTTTAATTTAAATGAGAAAAACCTAATACTTCAAAATTGATTTCATAGGCCCGGGCGCAGTGGCTCACGCCTGTAATCCTAGCACTCTGGGATTTTTGAGACAGAGTCTCGCTTGTTGCCCAGGCTAGAGTGAGTGCCGTGCGTCAGCCTAGCTCACAGCAACCTCAAACTCCTGGCTCAAGCAATCCTCCTGCCTCAGCCTCCCAAGTAGCTGGGACTACAGACATTCCCACCATGCCCGGCTAATTTTTTGTATATATATATTAGTTGGCCAATTAATTTCTTTCTATTTATAGTGGAGACGGGTCTCGCTCTTGCTCAGGCTGGTTTCGAACTCCTGACCTCGAGCAATCCACCTGCCTCGGCCTCTCAGAGTGTAGGATTACAGGCGTGGCCACCCGCGCCGCTTCTTTAACATTTATTATAAATCAGGTACGCTAGCAACAAATTCTCTCATCTTTTGTTTACCTGAAAATGTTGTTATTTCACTGTCAATTTTGAAAGAATTTTTGCTAGATAAACAATTTGAAGTTGATAGAGTTTTACTTTCAGGACTTTAAAAATTTCATTCCATTATATTCTGACTTTCATTCTTTCTGATATAAAATGTGAAGTCAGTAGTACTTCGTACTTTTGTTCCCTATAGGAAGATGGCTTCAGTGTTTCTCTGATTGGTTCTAATGTATTTTTTTTAATTACTGGTTTTTAGCAGTTTGAGTGTAATGTTCCTTGGGGTAGCTTTCTTTGTGTTGTCCTGTGTTAGGTTGTTTACTTTCTTGAATCTCTGTGTTTATATTTTTCATCAAATTTAGAAAAGCTTTGGCCATTATTACTTCAAATATTTTCTTATCCTCTCCTCTCTTTCTGGGACTCTGATTATACAAGTGTTAGATAACTTTGTATTCACCCATAGTCACCAAGGCTCTGTTCATTTTCTTTTCAACTTTTTTCCTCTGTCCTTTAATATAATAATTCTTTTGTACTGTTTATTTGCTGATCTTTTTCTTCAGCAGTGTCTAATCTACTGTTAAACCTATATAGCAAAATTTCCATTTCAAATATTATTTTTATGCTCTAGAAGTTTGATTTGGTTCTTTTTATGTTACCACTTCTCACATTGTATTTATATTTATACTACTTTAAGTCTTGGCATATTTACAATAGCTGCTTTAAAGTCCTTTATCTAGCCTGGCATAGTGCTCACGCCTGTAATCCTAGCACTGTGGGAGGCCGAGGGGCAGATTGCTTGAGGTCAGGATTTTGAAACCAGCCTCAGTGAGACCCCATCTCTACTAAAAAATAGAAAGAAATTAATTGACCAACTAAAAATATATATATACAAAAAATTAGCCGGGCATGGTGGTGCATGGCCTGTAGTCCTAGCTACAAGGCTGAGGCAGTAGGGTTGCTTGAGCCAGGAGAATGAGGCTGCTGTGAGCTAGGCTGATGCACAGCACTCCACTCTAGCCTCGGCAACAACATGAACTCTGTCTCAAAAAAAAAAAAAAAAAGTCTTTATCTACTTTAAAGTCTAATTTCATTATCTTTGAATTTCTACTTGACTGATTTTTACCTGCTGATGGTTCATATTCTCTGCTTCTTCATATGTATAATATTTTAATTTATTTTATTATTTTTTGAGACAGTTTTGCTCTGTCGCCTGGGCTAGAGTGCTGTGGCATCAGCCTAGCTCACAGCAACCTCAAACTCCTGAGCTCAAGCAATCCTTCTGCCTCAGCCTCCCGAGTAGCTGGACTACAGCATGCGCCACCATGCCTGGCTAATTTTTTCTTATATATTTTAGTTGTCTGGCTAATTTCTCATATTTTTAGTAGAGACGGGGTCTCACTCTTGCTCAGGCTGTCTTGAACTCCTGACCTCAAGTGATCCTCCACCTCGGCCTCCCAGAGTGCTAGGATTACAGGAGTGAGCCAATGCCTGGCCATGTATATGATTTTTGATCAGAATACTAGCATTGTGAATATTACATGGTTGAGTGCTGATTTTGTTGTCTTTTTGAAGATTGTAAGTTCCATTCAAGCAAGCAGTTAGTTGACTTGTAGATCAGCTTTTTTCAGCTTTGTTTAGCAGGTCTAGATTAGTCTTTACTATTGGCTATTAGCATCATTTGTAAAGTATGGCCTTTCTGCGGTGTCTCTTCCAAATGTTTCAGGTTTTTAATAGATCCCATTCCAACCAGTCAGAACTTGAATGTTTCCAAGCTGTTATTCAAGCTCTAATAGTTGTTTAGCTTAAATTCCCAGTAGTATATATTCCAGCCTGATAGAAGTCTATCCTTAAACTACATCAAAGAGTTGAGGGAATCCTTATGGTATTTCTGGAACTCTTTCTCTGGTACACTACCCTGTAAAGATGAGTTGTCTTAACCTCTCTTAATTCCAATTTCTGTGTCCTCAGTTACTGTAACCTCTGATACTCTGCTTGGCTTCCTTTTATCATGTGCTTAGGTAAATAACTCTTAGAGGAAATCTGGGGAAGTTTTGGGCTCATCTTGTTTCCCTTTTTTCCAGTATCACAGTCTACTGTGCCTATTGCCTAATGCCTGAAAACATGTGTTTCATAGATTTGGTGCAGTTTTCATTGTTTGTGGTAGGAGGTTCAGTTTGGTATCAGTTAATTATTTTATAATTGGGCACCTTAAAATAGTAAATGTTCTATTAAAATAAAATGCATACTTAAATTGCATAAATCATAAGTGTATAGCTTGATAAATTTTTATCAATTGAATATGGCATGTAACCAACAATCAGATCAAGAGAATATTATTTAGAACTCCAGAACCCCCTTACTTCCCTTTCAAAACACAAAATATTTAATACTACCTAAGGGTAACCAATATCGTGACTTCTGTTACGATATATATGTGTGTGTGTGTATATTATATATTTATTATTTTTATTTTTGAGACAGCGTCTTGCTCTGTCACCTGGGCTAGAGTTCAGTGGCGTCATCAATAGTTCACTGCAAACTCAAACTCCTGGGCTCAAGCAATTTCCTGCCTCAGCCTCCTGAGACTGGGACTACAGCATGCACACATGCCCAGCTAATTTTTCTATTTTTTGTAGAGACAGGGTCTTGCTCTTGCTGAGGATGTCTCAAACTTTTGGCTCAAGCAATCCTCCTGCCTTGCCTCCCAGAATGCTATAATACAGGTGTGAGCCACCATGCCAGTCACATTATTTTTGTTTTTGAACAGTATATGTAAATGAAATCAGTAGTGTGCATTTTCTGTGTCTGACTAATTTCAGTCGATTTTGGAATCGTAATATTCAAATCCACGCTTTGCATGCAGTTGTAGATTATTCATTCTTTTTCTTTTATAGTGTTCTATTTGTGAATATTCTAAAATTTTTTCATCCTATGAACATTCTTATACATATGTCTCTTGGTGAACACATTAATAAATTTCTGTTGAAATGAAGGGGTTAACTCACTCCAACAACCACCAAATTTATATAATTAGTCCAGATTTTCTTCTGAATCCTAGACTTACATATCCAAATCTGCTTGACACCTTCATCTTAAGCATTTCAACTTTAGCATATTCAAAACCATTTGCTCCTTATATGTTCCCAAATGGTTCTTAGTCCATCTAGTTCTTTATGGAGTAATCATAATAGTCTTCTTTTACTGACCTTTCCTGGCAAACCAATCCATTAAGTCCCTTGTATTCCACCTCCGATTTATACATATCTTGAAATTATCCACCTTTTTCTGTCTCTACTGCCATTACCCTAGTTCAAGCCACCATCATTTCTGGCCTTAATAATGCAACTGCCTCCAAACTGGCCTCCCAGCAACCCTCTTACCCTTTTCCAATCTATTCCCCACAAACAGCTTGAGTGAGCTCTTAAGTATGTAAATCAGATCATATTTAACAGTCTTTTACTAGCTGCTTATTGACCTTAGATGGCTTCCAAAATACAGTCTGATATCTAAGTCTGATAGTGGCCACTAAGAGCCAGCATGGTTTGGCCTCTGCCACATCTCAGCTCAAGTTTCTCCTTGCTCCCTACCTTCCAGCCACACTGACTTCCTTTTAGTTCCTAGAACACCCGAAGTTCTTTCATGCCCCAACAACCTCACACACAATTTTCCCTTGGCCTGGAACATGCCTTCAGGCTCTTTATAAGCCTGGAGCTAAAAAGGAAGTGTCTTTTAAGAGGCTTTTCTCTGACAGTCCAAAATTAATCCATCATGGCACCCACTAATTTTCCTTCATATACTGATCACAATGTATAATTATGTAACGATTTATGCTTTAATGTCTCTTGCTCCTATTAGACCTTAAATTCCATCAAGTGTTCTGTTCACTCCTGTGACCCAACACCTAACACGGTGCTTGGCACATGGAAACCGTCAGTAAATGCCTTTTAAATAATGCCAACCTGTGCGAAGGCTGGAAGAGGGCCGTGGATCTAGTATCTGGACATTCTCTGCCACGGTTAGTTTCCTTCCTGCGTGTGGTGTAGATAGGGGAAGGTCCTTTACTTGATCACCCAAGGGGCTTGTCTCCAGCCCTTGGTAAGTGTTTGCTGTAGGGCCGCGTGTAAAGACAAACTGCCTCCAGAGACAAGGCGGCTGGCGGAGGAGATTACTGAGGACACACAGTTCCGTCACCAGAGGCTTGAGCAATCTTCGCGACGCAGGTGCGGGAGGAACTGCTAATCCCCTGGAGGGGGCGGGACTAAGCGGGCACGGAGGGCGGTCAGTGGTGTGTGTGTGTGTGGTGTGTGTGTGTGTGTGTGTGTGTGTGTGTGTGTGTGTGTGTGTGTGTGTGTGTGTGTGTGTGTGTGTGTGTGTGTGTTGTGTGTGTGTGTGTGTGTGTGTGTGTTGTGTGTGTGTGTGTGTGTGTGGTGTGTGGTGTGTGTGTTTTAAGCTTGATGATATTTCTTATTCTGATAACATGAAGTTCACTTTGATATTAATATAACTACTTCACCCTTTTAAAAAAATATTGGTTAGGTTTTTCTTTTCCTGTCCTTTTACTTTAAACCCATCTATGTCTTTTTCTTTAAAATGGGCTTCTTATAGAAAGCATACAGTTGGGTCTTGCTTTTTATAAAAAAAAATTCAATGTGACAGTCTTTGCCTTTAATTGCTGTGTTTAGAGCATTTATACTTAATATAATTATCACTATAGTTGAGTTTGAATCTGTCATATTGGTTATTTGTTTTTTATTTGCCTGATTTGTACTTTGCTCCATTTTCCTGTTCTCTTGCCTTCTTTTGGATTAATTATTTTATAATCTAATTTTAATTCCTCTATTGGCTCATTAGCTTTTACGTACTTTTCTTTCTTTTAGTCATTCCTCTTCTAATATGTATCTTTAACTTATCATAGTTTACCTTCAAATGCAATTATACCACTTCATGTACAGTGTAAAAACCATGTAATAGTATATATCTATTCCCCCTTTCTTTATGATATTATTAACATATGTTTTACTTCATTTGTTATAAACTTCATAAAACATTGTTACTATTTTTGCTTTAAATGGTTAATTATATTAGAGAAATTTTAAAAAGAAGAAAAAATTTTATGTTAATTAACATATTCACCATTTCTGATACTTTTGTTCCTTTTGTGTGAATTTGAATATCCATCTGGAATCATTTTCATTTAATCTGAAGATCTTTCTTTAACATTTATTTATTTATTTATTTATTTATTAACAGCCACGCTCCTCCGCCTCCGGGACAACAGATGTAACCCGGGCAGGAACCAAGCCGTGCCTGGGGTGGGAGTGGGTGTCGTTAGGCCGCGGAGCTCTGGAGGGGCAGCATGCGGGACCCGTCCACTTCGACTTGAGGGGTCCGTGGGGCCGCGGGCGGCGGTTGCCCTTGGCTGGCCTGCCCCGGTATGGGGCAGCCGAGCTGGAGTGCCTGAGGGAGAGGGCCAGTCTCCCTGACCTACCAGACGGCGGTGGTGGGATCCCTGGCGCCCAGGTGTCAGAAACACGATGATCCCCACCTAGGCCGTTCAGGTGGCCTGAGAGAGCGTGAGGTGCCATTTCCTATTTCTTTTAGGCAGGCGGGACTTGAACCAGTGGCTTACTTTGCGTTTGTGAGGTGGAATGAGCGCTGAGCCAGAGATTTGCCTGCGTTGGCTCACAGAACCCTTTTGAGCCCTGCTAATGGCACTTTGGGAACAATGTGGCAAAAAGTAGACCTGAGCAACTGGCTTGACAAGCGGAGGAGGTCTCTGAAAGAGAAGGCCGAGCCCTAACTGGCTTGAGTCTCTCTGCCAGTGAAAACAGCTTTAGATGTTTCTCCTGCTTCTTACTTCCCTGGATCATTCACCTGGAGCAAGTGGAAAGCTTGAGAACCAGCCCTCTTATGCCTGTTCAGCTAAGGCAAAGCCCAGCCCAGACCTAAAGTGGTCAGCCCCTGTACTGGAGATGTTGGGAACCGAGCTGACAGGTGGAACAGCCACTTTTTAAAACTCTGAATCACTTTCCATGTTACTGGTATTTGCTCACATGCTATGATTGTAAGGAATTAGGCAATACCTTACAGTACTACATTTGGTATATTAAGGTTCAGTATTTGAATCTGACACCTGCGACCATGGCCTAAGTTAATGGGCATTTGGGCATTTTCTGTGTTGAGAACCATTGCATCTGTTTAGTCGTGTGTGTGTGTGTGAGAGAGAGAGAGAGAGAGAGAGAGAAGGACTGATTAAAATCTAAGTGTATGGTTTGTTGGTGTGAAAGGAGCCCAGGTCGTATGAAAGGGGTGCCTGTGACCTTCCTTTCCATGTGTTTGAGTAAGAAGTTTGGACATGTTGAGAGGCAGTGTCTCATAGAATCGTTGGGTTACAGCTGAGTTTAAATCCCTACTTTACCACTTCCTAGTTTAGAGATTGATCAAATTACTAAATTTTCTGGGCTTGAATTTCCTCAAAGGTAAAATGAAACTAATAATACCTACCTGCCAGGTTTTGGAAGGAGTCTCTGAAGTAATACCTATAAATGCCTGGTCTATAGAGGGATATCAGTAAGTAAGAGGATAACATAGCAGATTCTTAATATAGCACTTTTAGGATATTACAAGGCAATGTTTGGTGCTTTACATGATCCTATGAGATAGATACTATGGCATCTTTAAAACAACTCTGTGGATATATACTTTAGTAGCCATAATTTACAGGTGTGGAAACTGAGGTTTAGAAAGGCAAAGCTTGCCCATGATTACTTGGCTAAGTACACGCTGGAGCCAGGATTAGAACCTAGGCAGCCTGGCTCCAGAGTCTGTCCTCTTAACTACCATACTGTACTGCCTCTTAAAATTTAACTTGTTCTTTCATTATTATTTCAAAATGGAATAATAGGAGTATCAAAGACTTTAAATAAGCTAGGGGCACAAGCAATGTGGCAGAATAAGTTCTGGCTGCCCTTAGTATCTTTTTCCCTGCCCTTTTCATGCTCTGTTTTCTAAGTGCCTCCCTGCTAAGCTATGGCTATGTAAAGTCCTTTCTCTTTTTCTTTCAATCTGCCCCCATCCTGTGCATCACAATTAGTATAGCTTTCTTACCCAATTAACCCCTCCCCCTTCCCACATATCTCAGCACTTTTGATAAATAATATATAGCAAGGTAGTGTTTCCCAAACTTTGATACTGTCACATATGCAAAATAATATCATAAGCAGTTGAATATTTAAAAAATTTCCAAAAATTTTTGCACACATATTTCAATAAAACAAAAAAATTTATTTTAATTTAAATGAGAAAAACCTAATACTTCAAAATTGATTTCATAGGCCCGGGCGCAGTGGCTCACGCCTGTATCCTACGCACTCTGGGAGGCCGAGGCGGGCGGATTGCTCGAGGTCAGGAGTTCAAAACCAGCCTA